GGAATCAAAGGCTTTCTCATAGTCCACATACGCCAGATATAGTGGCAAATTGTACTCCTCGGACTTCTGTACAATTTGCCGAAGGGTATGTATGTGGTCTATGGTGCTAAAGCCTTTTCGGAAACCGGCTTGTTCGGGAGGCTGGAAGTCGTCAAGTCTGCGCGCGAGACGAAAAGTATGTTTGTCCTTGTGCAATTTATGTTTGTAAACTGCCTCCACGACACAGGAAAAAATCCTAGTGTGGGGGTAACGTTTTTTTTTTAAATATAATAAACTTACATATCTACCCAAAATACATAAATAAATTACAAAATTCCTCAAACAATAATATAAAGCTGAGAAATACAATAAATACATAATCACATAATTTATCCTAACGGTCTCCGAACGATTGAGTCAAGTAATGCTCTTTAAGTAATCGCTTAAAGATTACAAAGATAGTGCTTCACATATATACAAAGGTAGGGCATTCCAGAACTTAATAGACTGGACAGTAAAATATTTATTAAAAAATGATGTTTTGTGAGTAGGTACCCTTAAAATAAATTTTCTAGAAGAGCGTACAGGTTCCTCCGGAAGCCCCACAAAATTAAACTTCTCTTTTAAATAGGGAGGAGAATGAATCTATTGTATCAGAGGCACAAAATGATATATAGTTAACTTGGCACCCGCACGTTTTAGAAAGAAAGTCTAAATTGATATCTCTAATGGGTATGATAAAGGGTATTGCTCGCTGTCTTCCAGTACCTGTAAGGTATACGATTTATAATTCCATTGTGAAACCATAAATCGATTATCTAGTAGAAATATGGGGTAATGTAGCCAAAACTATTCTAGCAATACTACAAATTGCTCAAAATAAATTATTGAAAGTTTTTTTTTCATATTGATTATCTTGTACCGACAGATAAGCTTTACAAAAAAAAATAAAGTATTGAACATATTGCAAACACAAATACCAAAATTGTATATTGGTACGACAAATTTTAAATAAAGATATACACACAAACAGAACTTTTTCAAAGAGAATACAACTACAAAAATGAAACTTAGGCGAAGCAACGTTATTGAATTATTAACACCGCGAACAAATTTCGGGGAAAAAAGCATAATGTATGAAGGATCACAAATATATAACAAATTACCTAAATATATTAGGGACTCATAATAAATACACACATTTAAAAGACGACTTAAGTATCATCTATCGAAAGAGTAAACAAAGACCTATCTAAATAAATAAATACTCTCATGTTCAATAACTACGAGTAGCATAAATAAATACATACATAAGTTAATTCCTTTTTACACGCTAATACTACCAACTATCCGAAATAATAAATTATATAAATGTTACAAAGGTTTACTAAAGATATAAATTATTATAACCGGACACTTAATCAGACTTTTTTTTTAAACTATTGAACCTAATCAACTGTACCACTCAACTGTGCGAGTCACATCCAGTAATGCTTATCTATGTAATCGGCATAAAGAAGTCGGCGGTCGAATTTGCACAAAGTTTAAACGAGCCATTGCTGTCGCTGGAAACATTTTATAATTATAACAACCTACATTTTGTATTTTCGTTAGTTCAATTATAATTTGCATTGTTACATTGTACGTGTGGTGTATCTATTTATTTACACACACATTATAAATATCTATTTACATATATATATATATATATATATATATATATATATATATATATATATATAAATAACTCATTATACAGTTAAGTTTATCATATACAATCTATAGTATTCATATATATATATATATATATATATATATATATATATATATATATATATATATATATATATATATATATATATATATATATATATATTTAATTTACTACACACTGCATACTTATTTATTATCACTTATATTAGTATTTTATATTATCAAGTCCCGTACGTGGAAGGCACTCTCGTAGAACCGGTTACCCGGTCGGTCGACCGGCCGCGGTGCATAGTTTATGAGAAGACTCGCCAGTTAGCAACACAATCTATATAGAAACACTACGCGTTCAGACGGACGTCTCTGGTACATTTAGTTTGGACCGTAGAGCAAATCAGAACATGACATTTCGTTTTTTTTTAAACATGTATAGGATATAGGCAAGGGAATAATTATATTTCAGCCTAGCATAATTTATATATATATATATATATACAGGGTGTTTTTGGAACGCTCCCGAAAACTAAGACAGGCGACAACACCAAGTATACCTTTGGTCATGGGTCACAAATAAATTCGATCCTGATGAAAAAAAAATCATCTTTTTACAAGGTTTTATTAGCTTTATTCACGCGCCATCATGTTAGTACAGCTAAATGAAACGATAATTTCATAAAAAATATCATGAAAATACTGAAACATAAAACCAGCAGTGGAATGACTGAATTGATATCACCTGACCTGAGCTAGATAAAGGTCAATGTACGCGCGAACACAAATTCGCGCGGCCCGCAACTAGCGGGCCATCCCACATAATAATTTACAACACGTGTCTAAATACCTAACTTATCTACTTAACCTACTATTTTGCCACTGTGCTTATCTCCACGTAGCCACTTTAATCCGAATTTACAGGTTAAATAACCCAAATAACTGGTTCGATTCCCCGCTAATGAAGAAATACTTAAATGAAATGTAACCAAGGTTGGAGTCATGCGTTTTTATTCATCGTGTAGGTATGTTTATTATTCTCATGTATTCAGTTATGTACCTATTCAGATTAGTCTAGTACTAAATTATTAAAAAAAATAGTTATGAAACAGCTTACTGCTCTAAATCCTCCGTGGTCTTATGAGATGCGGCTCAAATTGTGCTCCATTCATTTCAAGGCAGATTTGGGTGCAGGCGGGGCATCATCGTGTGGTCTTCGACACAGTCCGTACGTAGTTTCTCGAAAGCATCCACGATCCTTTGGCGCATTTCTTCAGCACTATCACATTCACGATTAAAAACCCTTTCTTTCACATACCCCACAAAAAGAAGTCTAACGGAGTCAGATCTGGTGAGCGAGGTGGGCAAGCGTGTGGTCCTAGTCTGCCGATCCGGCGATCATCAAATAGCTCATTGAGGCGCTCACGGACGAACCTCACGAAATGTGGAGGGGCACCATCATGTTGGAACTATGTGCGGCGATATTCAGCCAACGATAGGTCGTTTAAAATGTCAACCAACTGTTCATTTATAAAGTTTAGGTATCGCTGTCCGTTCAGTCGCTCTGGCAGAAACACTGGTCCCAGTATGGGATCCTTAAATAAACCTGTCCATACGTTAACCGACCATCGGGTTTGGTGCCCGGTTTGTCGAACAGCGTGCGGGTTAACCTCTGAATACACGTGTGTATTTCTTCGGTTCCACAGGCCGTTTCTGGTAAATGTCGACTCATCCGTCCAGATAATGTGCTCAATGGAACCAGGCACACGTTGTTGCTGGTATAATAACCAACGGCAGAAAACTCTTGTGCAATTTGTATGGGCGCATTGGTTACGCTTCAACACTTTGTGCACTGCACAGTATGTTTACACACTTGTTCCATCTCGACGTCTTAACAATTTATTTAGCGATACTTCGTGTACCTAGGTTCGGATACCTAACATGTTGACCACTATAAACGTACGCGTTAGGCATTATTTAAACAAAAAAGAATCCAAAAACGTAACAAAAACTTTAATATCAACACGTAATCACAAGTAAATTTATTAAACAAAACGATTGAACTGTCGCTCGCGCACGCGTGTACAAAATCAACACGGAACTGTCTCAAAAACACAACTGCGTCACAAGCGTGAGGCGACAGGGAATAGGTCGACAGCGGAGTGAGTGTGGGTACAGTCGCGTTCTAAAGTACTACATGGTATTGGGCTATTGTTTTATAATATTATAGTAATTAATTGTTTTATTGTAGAATCATAATAGGTGTTTTACTAGCTACTTAGAACTTTGGAAGAGGTGGGAATTAAAAATAGATAATGTTTACTTGAGCATTGTTTGTTATTTCTATCGTAAAATATAAAGTAGTTTGTAACAAAAAAACTTAAGCTAAGGGTGACACGCCGTCCATTATGACGTCTTGGGTCACATGGAAGCCAGATGTTGATGGTGTGTTGGTGTTACTGGATGCTACTTCATCATCACTTTCATCTTCGCTTGAGCTTCCGTCATCAGGTCGATCACATGGTAATTTTTTCGGTATTCTTCCTCAACAATTTTAACTTTACTGCACAATTTTCCCCATTCACCTTCTATCATATTTACCTTTTCGTTCACTAGTTTAGTCATAAAACAATAGATATAAATAAATTTTTTTCCTTCCTTTTTAAAACATCGTCGCGAGTCGCAAAGTAAGCTGTGTATGCGACTGTATTTTTGGAGCGAACAAAGCGCGGGAACCAATAGCATGCAGGCACAGTAATACTGGCCAATATGTGATAAATCGCTCAGTGCCCAAGTTCAAGGCCAGCGTTCTTTTTTCACCGTTCGCGCGTACATTAACCTCCATTAGTCAGGTGATATCAATTCAGTTTCCACTGCTGGTTTTATGTTTCAGTATTTTCATGATTTTTTTTATGAAATTATCGTTTCATTTAGCTGTACTAACATGATGGCGCGTGAATAAAGCTAATAAAACGTTGTAAAAATATGTTTTTTTTTTCATCAGGATCAAATTTATTTATGACCCATGATCAAAGGTATACTTGGTGCTGTCGCCTGTCTTAGTTTTCGGGAGCGTTCCAAAAATACCCTGTATATAGGTATATACCTATATAATATTTTTATATTCATAATCTTAATTACTATTTTTATTATTATTATTTTATTATGAAGGATTCGTAGAAATAAAATGCATTGTATATATTATTTATTATATGATTTATTTTTTTAACTTTTTTAAGGTTTTTTTTGGATTGGTGGCAATGTACGCTTTTCGATTCTAATGATGTCCGTGCCTTTCAGAAACCCATGTGTGGTACATGCTATAGAGTAAACATATAATTCCTCCTTTGCTGCTTGCACTTGAATATTTTCAGTGAAAAGGTTCTCTTCAATACATTCGATATCCAGTGTATTGAGCTGGAAAAAGGAATATTTAAATATATAAATTACAAGTTTAATATGCACATATTAAACTTGTTGCTCATTGTAATTGTTTATAAATGTTTGCATAGAAAATGTCAAGACAAGAAGAGGCCATTGTAATCAGATAAAGTTACTTTCACATAAATCTAAGAAGCTTTAACAATTATACAGAAATTTCCAATAATTTTTGAACATAATTATCATTGATACCTAAGATAATTAAGTACACTGTAGCAATTTTTGATAGAAGGTTGGGAGGATAAAAGTATATTTTGTAAAGTAACCAATTATCTATTGGAGTCTATGTTCATGTACTACTGCTGGGCACAGGCTGTCCCATTTCTCAGAGGGGTATGAAACAAAGAGTTGGGCAAGGTGCTTATTGGTAGACTACATCTTTAAAATATTTTTATTCCTTAGATAGATTTCGTCACAATGTTCCAGAACATGATAAATTAGCAATTAAAATTGGAATTAACATTAATTAATTTATTTCAGGGTGTAGACAGAGATCAAATTTGCTCAAAAATATAAACATATTACTAATCCTAATAAAAATATTATCTGAACTAAAGTTTTAGAATGGCGATGGTTTTGCAATTTAAATTTTACATGATGATTACCTTAATTTTTTTACTTCGTTGGGAATCATATGGTCATCATTTAGTTTATCTAACAAGCGCAATTGAGTATGCTTGCAGTCCTGTTTAGTACACATCATCTTGTCATTTTGATACATTTCCATCAGTTATTATGTGTTTTGACAGCAAAATTATTCCTTATACCTTTTTTTATGATGGCTGATCAAATATTACACTAAGTTTATTTGAACTGTATCATCTGAAATAAAAACATAAAAGATTGTTTGTCATTGTCATTCAGACATCCTTGATTTTGTTATTATTAAGACTAGAGATGTGCGATTGTGCATAAAATAATGTTGACAATTAATTATTTAAAATAATAGAATTCCTCATTTACTTCAGCCATTAACTTAAATTTTTAAAAAATATTATAAAAAGAATTTATTATTATGTTTCATTCATCATTCATTCATTGCAGACTATCATAAAGCTACTGGTAAACATAGGCCTTCATAGGTTATCATATAAGGTGTACATTTTCCATAGTTGTAACACTTGGCAGACAAGTTGGCAACCAGTTTATTATTATTACTAAGTTGTTATCAAAGAGATCACTTGAAATACCAGGAATTAAGTAGTTTTATTTAAGTACAGTACTCTCGTACATCTTTAGTATAATTTTTTAAATTTTATATGAATACTGAATATACTGAGCAATTACTTTTATTAAGGAATAATGAAAGGTACATACCATTGTCATCTTTGATGATAAACCTAACTCAATTTACTCCAAAGATTAGTGTTGAGTTTATCCAACCTTTTTTAACCTTATTAATGTCAGATTTAGCAGTATGAAACACTTTATTCAAAAATTTTGTGACCAAGCAGGCTTCTTGAAATGGTTACTGGAATGCAGCATACTTTTAAGTTTGTCACAGTTTATAAAGTCCAACCACTTGTTTCTTTGGCCTTCGTCAGACTCTTCTCTGTTACTTGCACAATTGGGAATGAAAAACTTAAAAATACATTTTAAAACTAAAAATTTTATACAAAATACACTAAAGCTAAAGAAAACGTCCCGTCGAAATATAGAACCTATTAAACAATAAACATCCTTTCGTAAAATAGCAGTAAAATGCCAATAAAACTTTATTTATAATTTATAGTTAGTTCATACTTCATAGAAAAACAAAATGAAAATTTCCAAGAAAACTTCTAACTTGACAGCTACGCGACAATAACATGACAAAATGGCGGCCGTGGGAAGGCGCAAGAGTTGGGAGGGACGAGGGAAACGTCATGTTCTGGATTGCTCACTGCATTTCATACGGTCAAAGATTTTTGTCCAAAGATTACCAGCCGTGGTTAGCAACGAGACCTGTAGATGCGTAAGCGCATGTCGCTCCTTGCTCCGTTATTCGATTGTTAATATACAAATTTGATCCGTAAATATAAGTAGTGAAAGAATGTTATCCCTTAAGTTAATTATATTATTGAACTATTTTGATATTATAATATCGTATCAATTTACTATCATTGTCTTCTCCTTCTTATCTTAATAATTTTGTATGTGTATCTATTGTAATACACTAAATTATTCGGAATCTGTGAACATTATTTAAATTACCTAGTAGTTATACGAACATTACATCTTACATCACCACACTGGTGACCCCTAAGGAACACTAAAATGAGTGATAGCAGTGATTCGGTAAAAACCGCGGGATCAACGGAAAAGACAGAAAAAGTGACCGTGTGGCGCGCTCAACGTGTGCGCGTCCCTACCGAAAGCGAACACGATAAAATGGCGGACGCATGTAAAATTAACATAAAGGTGCCTCCATTTTCTTCAGACGACCCGAAGATTTGGTTTGCACTATTAGAAAGCCAATTTGAGAACGCTAATATATATGACGACGCTACAAAATTTACTAATGTAGTAATAAATTTAGATATTATATGCGCTAAAGCGGTGAAAGATATCATCATAAATCCTCCGGCTTATAACCGCTACAACAGGATAAAGACGGAGCTAATCAGGCGTCTATCCGCGTCTTACGAGAAGAAGGTAAAGCAGTTACTTACGCACGAAGAGCTTTGGGTTCCGAAACCTTCACAGTTTATTCGGCATCTGATGGACCTAGCGGGATCTTCCATGTCGGAAGAATTTATTAGAACTATATGGAGTAATCGTCTTCCAAACAATATTCAGACGGTACTAGCATCCCAACCGACCCATTCCCTGGAGCAATTGGCTGACCTTGCAGTCCGAATACAGGAAATCACAACACCCTGTAACGTAGACGTCGCGTCTTCCTGCGCTGCAGTGGCTCAATCTGCCAATGAAATCACTGAGCTGAAGAAGATGGTGGAGCGTCTCGCGCTAAAGCTAGATGAGCACACGAGCTCTAACCGAAGGTGCAGCAACAGATCCAGACCACAACGACGTCGATCGACCTCACGTCAGCGTACACGGTCTAACTTCAACTATAGGAAGTATCCTTTAAGCTGGTACCACTCAAAGCATGGTGCAAATGCTCGGTGGTGTGTTAAGCCTTGCGACTATCAGCCGGCGGGAAACGACGGGGGCAATTGCTAATGGCGACGGACGACTGCCCAGCCTCGATGAGTCGCCTTTTCGTCAAGGACCACGTGACAGAATTCCTGGTGGATACCGGCAGCGACCTCTGTGTGTTCCCCTACGACGCACTAAAGGAGTGACGACAGAAGGCGAACTACCAGCTTTCAGCAGCGAATGGAAGTTTAATTAATGCGTATGGTTATATTAATCTTAAACTTAATTTAGGTTTACGGAGAGATTTTCCATGGCAGTTTATAGTAGCTGATGTCACAAAAGCGATCATAGGTGTTGATTTTCTTTCACATTATAATCTTGTTGTAGATGTTCGCACCAAACGCCTAATAGATAATACTACCTCTTTGTCTGTAAATTCAATTGCAAATGTTGTTTGTGATGCTTATTCTGTCAAGGTGCTGACTGGCGATTCTAAGTACCATGCGATTCTAAATAAATATCCGGAAATCACAAGACCTTCTGTTCGCGCCAAACGCTAATTTCAAGAATCGACACCAGGGGGCTCGCCGCGCGGTGATTACCTATCGGTTGACGTACGCGCGAGATCGGATTGGTTGCTCGCGGGGCGGGTCGGAAGTGAGTCAATGTAGCTTGAGATCGTCCCGTATAACCTCTATTTAGTGTCGGTTTTGTTAGCAAATTTATGCAACGACGAGGATTTAATTATTTGGAATTTAATATTGATTGCGACCAACTTCCGGTTTTTGATGCGTGTGGAATTTACTATTGGAGTTTTCGCTTCTAGTTTGGTTATCTTAGTGCGTTCACGCGATGACGAAGCAGTAATAATTTGATTGATTAACCTAAATTCGTTGGCAAGTAATTTACGTAAATTGTATAGTGATTGCTGGTTGAAGTGCTTGACAATAATACTTTGCGTCGAGTAGTTGCTTTGTGGCATTGGATGTAACTCGTTTTGCTCTTGGTTATAATCTTGTTGCCACGTAAAACGGAAGTGACCTTTGAACCGCCCGTTCGTTATTCGTGCCGTGGGTTACGCTTTTAATTACGATTAACGGGGATTTATTTGAGTTTGAAGCTAATTAAATGTACAATAAAGTTGATGAATTGAAATAGTGTACAATAAAGTTGATAAACTGAAATAGTGAATTAACGTCGGACTTGAGGTCGGATGGGGTGAGCTGCCGCCTTTGGAGAGAGGTTACGCTGGATCTGACGGTTGGGACTGGCCAAACATTATCCACACTACTATACACCACTCACACGCACCTACACCTACCTACGGCGTGACCGAGCCTTGGGGAGGCCTTAGCTTCGTAACCAGGTACGTATTATTTATTTACCTAGCATTATCTCTATTGTGTAGGTCGATTGTCCATAGGCATTTACAGCCCCACCCTTAGCTGTTCGTCGAATCTACAGCTGTATGGGCCCCTGTATGGTCGATTTTTGTTGGGGCAGCTAGGAGCGTGTACATTTTTGGTAGCAGAAGCGCGGTTGATTGTTTACAATCACGCCCGGTCGTAATACGTAATAATAAAAATATTTTCCTTTGTTGTTTGCTTCCTTTGTTTGTTAGCGGATAGGTGGGTAGATTTAGGTACCACGCCCGTTAGGCGCAAGCAGGAGTTTGTTAGAGCTAGGTACGCGTCAGGTATTTTAAGTAGGTAAATAATTGTTATCACGTAATCGGATAATTATCGTTGGCGTATAATTATAGTAGATTAATTGTCGAAGGGTCGGTCGCTACCACGAGGCATCTTTGCTGATCGACTGTAGTGTGTACCTTTGTTTGTAGTGTAATTTGTATTTAATTTAATAAATAGTAATTTGTATTTGTGTAATTTCTATCTAACTTGATTTGATAGTAATTGTATTTGTTATTTGTTAATTTGATTTGTATTTGAGCCGCGTAGTAATTTGTATTTAGTAGAGATGCCATCGTACAAGCAACCGGCGCTTCGCCTGCGGGCGAATTTTTTTCGCTCACGGACGATTTGATCGAGGCAGGGTGCTAAGGAAGCGCGTGAAGCTCTGATGAGTGGCCTGCCCGAGTCCCCTCAAAAGCAGCCTACTCAGCCGGAGCTGTTGGGACGAGTCCCAACTTTGGACCTGCCAAGGTTCTCCGGGGTCCTCTCCGACTGGATGACTTTTGTTGGGCTTTTTGATAGCCTGGTGGACGCCCGGAGGGACTTGACACCAAGCCAGAAGATGGCGTTCCTCCTAGCCTCACTTGAGGGGAGGTCCTAGGCATCGTCGGCCATTTAAGATTGTCGGACGACGCCTACCAGACTTTTCGGGACCTTCTCGCTGGAAGATATGCCAACGTCAGGCGAATTGCGGACGAATACTTCAGCAGCTTCTAAGCCTCCCACTGCTTAGGGACTGGGTCAGGCTACGTCCGGACCTCTTGAATCCAGTCTTGGTGGCCTGTAATGCGTTGAGGCGGCTGGATTTGCCGGTTGATGAATGGTCATTCTTGTTGCTCCACATCGTGCTGTCCCGCCTGCCTCTCTACCTTAGGATACATTTTGGCGTTACCGTTGACGACTTACGAGCCGTTCCCAGTGAGAGGCGGGATCCCCCGGGCAAGTCGTCGTCAGC